TACAGCTCCCATCATCTTCTTTATCCATCTACCAAGCGGGCCAGGTACAGTATGATGGGAACTGCAGATTACCAATAGTTGGTGGAGAGCCATCTCCATGCCTTAAAGCAGTGTTTCTCAACCTCTGCAATTTTAAGATGTCTGATGCTTACTGGGGAATTCTGAGAGTTGAAGTCCATACACCTTAATGTTGCTGAGGTTGCGAAACACGGCCTTAAAGGAATATGAATATACCGCAAGCTTGTCTGGATCAGAGCAAATTTCCATCTGGTCCAGCCTAAATTGTGATTAGTCAGTTGATTCCAGAAAACTTGCAAGCAACACATGGAAACAATAGGGGCTGCTTTGCATCATTTGCCTTCAAAGCAAGGAATTAGTATTTAGAGGTAGAGTGGCTGTGAAGTCGGAGGCGCTAATTTAATACAAGTAGTCCTTCATTTACAACAGTTCATTTAATGACTGTTTGAAGTTACAGTGGCACTGAAAAAAGTGACATGACTGTTTTTCACACTTGTGATGGTTGCAGCATTCCCAATGGTCATGTGATCCAAATTCAGCCTCTTGGCAACTGACTCATATTTATGACAGTTGTAGTGTCCCAGGGTCATGTGATCACTTTTTGCCATCTTCTGACCAGCAAAGTCAATGGGGAGGCCAGATTCACTTAGCAACCACGTTATTAACTACTGGAGTGATCCACTTAACAACTGTGGCAAGAGAGATCGTAACATGGGGCAAAATTCACTTACTGTAACAGCTGTTTCATCTAGCAACAGAAATGTTGGGCTCAATTGTGGTTGTAGGTTGAGGACTACTCCATTAAGTTACTGTGGCTCACAACACTTCTCCATAATCAATATATCTAATCCTTTTTAAAAAATCACCTTCAAGCAGTGGATTTTATGACTGGATCATACAAAGAAATGCTTTATTTCATCCACTCTAATCCTACTGCTGTTCAACCATCAACTGGTAGCTTTGAAAAAATTAGGGGATTGGAGGCTAAAACATATAAGGAACGGTTGCTGGAATTGGGTATGTCTAGTTCAGGGGTCTTCAAACTTGGCCCTTTTATGAGTTGTGGACTTTTATGAGTTGTGGACTTCAACTCCCAGAATTCCTCAGCCAGGCATGCTGGTTGAGTAATTCTGGGAGAAAGTCCACAACTCATAAAAGAGCCAAGTTTGAAGACCCCTGGTCTAGTTTAATGAAGAGAAGGACGAGGGGTGACATGATAGCAGTGTTCCAATATCTCAGGGGCTGCCACAAAGAAGAGGGAGTCAAGCTATTCTCCAAAGCGCCTGAGGGCAGGACAAGAAGCAACGGATGGAAACTAACCAAAGAGAGAAGCAACCTAGAACTAAGGAGAAATATCCTGACAGTTAGAACAATTAATCAGTGGAACAACTTGCCTCTAGAAGTTGTGAATGCTCTAACACTGGAAGTTTTTAAGAAGAGACTGGACAGCCATTTGTCTGAAATGGTAGGGTTTCCTGCCTGAGCAGGGAGTTGGACTAGATGACCTCCAAGGTCCCTTCCAATTTTATTATTATTATTAAAAGGGGAAATATATAAAACAGTTACAATTGGCTGTCATACAAACAGCCCATCCACATTTATTTTATATGAACTGCCTTTGGAAATGGATGAAGATGGCAACCTCGCTTTTCTAGCCTGCCATCCCCCGTGTAAAGTCCTTGTGGCACTACAGACACGCAGCCATCCTGGACCGATATTCCTGAATTAATACATCTGGGATCCATTGGCTGAAGGAAGGCATCTCTCCCTAGTGGTTAGGGAGCCCTGTATCTATTGGAAAAACTGAAGGGATAGCTGTGCACACGAAAAGTGATGCATATTTACATTTTGACTGATTGCTCAATTCTTTTCCCACTCCTTGTCAGCATCTTGTCACAAAATAAGGTATTTGTTCCTACTTCTCTCTCTACACTTCTGGGGCAAGTCCAAAAAATCCTCTAATGTCCCCAGTTCCCACCTGTTGGTTTTACAGAGGGAGGGGCTAATGCCTAGCAGACCCACCTACTCTGCTCCAAAATAGTCCACCCATCCTTCAGACAGATCCTAACCCAGATGAAAGCAAAACTGCTCCAATTAAAAAGTCTGAAACCTGCCGTTGTCAAAATCAGATATTATTATTTGCTCTAGAGTTGCTGTTTGACTTGGTGTTCAAGGCAGCTGGAGAAAGCAGGCACCAACCAAGACTTGAAAAAATCCACGAGCATCAGATTTGGATCGCCATTACTGAGATATTCAAAGCGGTTGAAGGCTGATCAGCAATTCAAAATTTTATTCTAGCCTGGGCATCGTGAGAGGGTCAGGTACTTTGACTATATTCTTTGCTTCAACATGTTTATGTTCGCTTGTATAACTTTGCAGCTGTTTTCCAGAGGACTCATGAAATCTCTAGGTCAGGGAGATGACAAAGGTTCATACAGAGTACTGTCTCATTCATTATTTTGCTTAAAATTATAGCTAGGAAATTGATGCATGAAGAAAAGGTCTCAATTTAAAAATCTTTACCTCTGCTTTGACTTTGCAATCCAATGTATGGCTTCTTACACTGCACAAAGCCATGTGATTGTAGTTTTGTTTTGGCTTAACCTGGTCTGTAAAGGGATCCCATTGAGATGCATAAACCAAATTTCAGGAACATGATTTTGTGCGGAGGGAACACCTACAGCTGCAAGCTGACTGACTGCAGGTTAACTAAACATCAGACACAAGTGTAAGCGTAGGTCAGTTCATATGACCACCCTCAATATATGTGGTTTTGAAAAGAAATATTATGTGAAAGAAGCAAAACACTATTTTTACTTTGTTCTCTCATCCAATTTTGCTGCATTAACTTTAATAAGTTACCTTATTAATTGGCAACATCCTCCTTTCAAAATTCAAAAGGCGAATTCTGTAAACTGTAAATTAATCGTCTATACACTAACCCCAAAAAAGTAGAGAGGTTCAAATTTAAGCCCATTGAATTAGTGACCCTATAAATCAAAGAAGCTGGATTTTTTTATTTAAAATTAGAGAATCAGGTCGGTGTAGTGATGTAAAACTACTGGGTGAGACGGGCGGCACATAAATTTAATAAATAAATAAATAAATAATGAATCTATATATCTAAAATTCTCACGGCAGTGCTATTTTGTGCAAACATTAGGAACACCTTACACCAGACCCTGCATTGCTAGTCAATTCTAGCTCCGATATAGGTGCTAGTTTGAACTTATGGAACCCTTCATGGCTTAGCACTCAGATACTTTCGGATCACTTTCTCCAGCCAGTTTGGGTCCGACGAGATAAATCTGCCAAGAAGAAACTCTGCAAATCCCACACTTTCAGGACGTTGGGGGGGGGGTGCACCAAGAAAGCAGGGCAAGGAAGGGCAGCTTTTCTGTTTGCAGCACCCTGTGGACTAGCCTCTCAAGTCAGCTTCCTGTTTCTGATCTTTCAAAAGCACCTGAAGAGGAAGTTGTTGTTTTGGAGGGCTTTCCCGATTTGATTTGACTTGATGTAAGCCTCATTTTAGTCCGTCTGTATTGGTATGGTGCTGTTGTGCTTTTGTTATTGTATTTCTCTCTCTCTCTCTCTCTCTCTCTCTCTCTCTCTCTCTCTCTCTCTCTCTCTCTCTCTCTCTCTCTCTCTCTCTCTCTCTCTCTCTCTCTCTCTCTCTCTCTCTCTCTCTCTCCCTCTCCCTCTCCCTCCCCCCCCTCTCTCTCTTATCCAGTGCTTTTTTTCTAAAAAAAAAAAGGTGCCGGAACTCACACATGTCATACAACCCCCTTTGCCTACCCTACAAGGTTCCATCCAAAAAAGGTGCCGAAACTCCGTTCTGGGCGTTCTATGAGAAAAAAAGCCCTGCTCTTATATCTATATATCTATATCTATATCATCTATATCTATATCTATATCATCTATATCTATATCTATATCTATATCTATATCTATATCTATATCTATATCTATATCTATATCTATATCTATATCTATATCTATATCTAGGCAAGGCAAAAGAGATTATAAAAAAGTAGAACTACAGTATAGCAGTCAAAATGCCAAGGTGTAATCAATCCGACCGGTCTGTCTGAAAAACTTTCTGTATATCTATATCTATATCCAGGGCTTTTTTTCTGCCGGAACGCGGCGGAACGGCGTTCCGGCACCTTTTTCCGGGCCGGCCGCACCGGAAATAGCCCCTCCCAAACCGGAAGTAGCCCCTCCCACATTTTACTTGCATCTTTTTTCTAAAGGGGCGGTCCTAGGGTTTGATGGGGGCGTGGCCAGGTTTGAGTTCCGCCACCTTTTCGCTGAGA